CTGCAGCAACTGGCTCCGTTCTGAGACGCGCCATGCATCTGTCGTGGTTAGGAAACTTCAGAAACATTTGGGAGTTATATCCCTCAACTACAATTGCGACTGCAAGACCTATGATTCTAATCGCGTGATGCTGCAAGCTTAAGCCTAGAGCTGCCGGCATCAAGCGCATCTGTCCAAAATTTTGCCGTTTACCTAGCATTTTAAGCCACAGACGAATTTTATCACAGCTAGATTTCCCATAGCGTTAGCCATCCCCGTCGCACCTACACCCATAATGACCTCCACGCATTGCCACGTCGATCTCTGCGCATACGCCACTTTCTCCCTCCGCCGGCCAAATACGACCCCATTGGACCTTTTTCTGAGGACGATTAACCCTGGGCGTTGCCATCATTCGCAAAACGGGGAACAGTGTGTGCGCTTCAACTTCTCCGTTACTCTAAGACGATCGTAATAGGCTTCGAAAAGCTTCTGAAAACCTCATAGTAACACAGAAAGCTGCTCTACATCTTCATCGTCAACTATTCGAATTTTTCTAAAATTTCTCTGTTTCTTTTGTACTTTGTACACTCCATTCTCCATCAATAGAGATTAGAGGAAAGATGCGTTTCCAGAAAAGAGGTAAGAGGACGTGTAAGCGACCTTAACCAGGGAAAAAAGAGGATTGAAGAGCCGCTTCTGCCGAATTTGTCCGACACGGCCCACCGTGGCTTATTGGTCACGCTAGCTAGCCGTAGTCGGTGGCAGGGTCAACATTTCGTTCTACTACCTAAAAGAAGGGGTTGTGTTCGCGAAAGGGGGGTGAGGTTAAGGCTAATCATCTTTGTGCGTACGGGGGTCGTATTCATGGAAGCGAACGAGGGTTGCAGTTGAGGAAGTTGAAGGGGTCGTGATTGTGAAAAAAGGACTTTTTCGGACGGATTTTTGGAAAGAAAAAGAGATATAGAAGACTGGCAGCTCTAGTGGACATATTCACCATACCGCCTCGACGGCAGTTCAGATAGGAAGAGTGGGCGGAGTTGGGCTGCGTCAGCTGATCTCAGAATCAAATGGAATACAAAACAGTCACAATGGTGAGAGTGGTGTTGAGTGAGAGTGGAGGGGGGTCGTATCGAGACACCCTAAGGAGGGTGGTGGAATTTTTGGAAAGGTGCAAACGCGACGGTTGACCCTGGTCGATGATCATTTTTGCTGTGGAAGGGGAGTCTCTAACGATTCGCATTAACGGTCTTCACCACGCATGGGCAATATAGCCTGCAGTAAATATTGATGATGATAATGACGAATAATGACGATTCGGCTACATCTATTGATTGACCGTGATCCTTGAATTACTGTAAAGAACAAAGGAGCGATTGCTATAATTGCAGACAACGTTGACGAGCGCTGGACAAGGCTGGTGCTAAGCGAGGGCGAGGCCTCCACCTATTAGGTCTCCGACACGGCCGCCAAACTTTATTAAGCTATCCAATTATTTTTTGAATTTTTTTCCACCGCCCTGAGGAAGAATTTACTTTTCAAGCAAGGCTGGCAGCTATTTTCAATCGTTTTTTAATGGGTTTGCAATTACCTCACGGCGCACGAACTTGTTGGCAACATTGGAGAGATGTCAATCGGAAATCGGAAACATGGCATGAAACAGTTATCATAACTAAGTCCCTAATTGAGACTACCTTAATCCGTTGGAGACCGCACATTTTTCACGTTTCGCGACCGCGTGGTACTTCAGTGAAGTTTTTAACACATTGCCGGACCGCCGCAGTGTCTCCGTATCTTTTTTTTTATGGCTTTTAAACACAATCATTATTAATCTATCAACAATTTTATCAGTGATAAGACGCGTATTGTTTTCCGGTTCTGAAAATGAGTGCAAGCAGATTAAGGCACATTGAAAAATTTCCAAATAAATCAGATAAAACCAAGCTCTTTCGTGCGAAATCGTGCGCCACATGGTGGCGCACGCGGTCACCATTTCCTAAGAATCTTATCAACCAAACTGGAGACAAAAACCTGATGCAGAAGAAACCTTATCGAATGAAATAAAATGAAAAACAAAAGAAAAGCTCAATATTGTTTCCAAAATGTGGGCTGTAAGTTCCTACACGGTCGAAGGACGGGAGCCAACATATGGGCTTGGGCTCCAAGGTGTTAAAGTGGACCATCGATGTTAAGGATAACAATCAACAGAAACGGTAGAGAAAGCACGAGCACGCCAAAGAAACAACGTTAGTCATCAAAGTAGTGCATATTTGAATAGGCCCCAGCCCGTTCATTCCGCGGAATCGAAAACGATAACCACTTGCAGATAAGCGCACGAGAACAGATTGCAGACGGTGTAGGGACAAGCGGTTTAAATTGGTCAGAGATGAGAAAATATTCCAGTAGAAGGACCACGGAATACAGTAATCATTGGAGACCACGCTGAAGCATTGAGCACCAAAAATGCGAAATAATTGTCGGAAATGGGTGCTGAGACTTACGGGTGCATGTTGATGAGAGAGGTTGAAGGGGGATAAAGGGGAGAGTGGGAGGCATGGCTACGTGGCGCCTCGGTTGTCGCTAGCCTCTAATCCCTCATTGAATTCCTGTTCACGCGACGGCGATATCGGGCCGTTGGTCGGGGTCGAACAGCGTCACAATTGATATCGGGGTAACTAGTTGGGACCACCCGTGCGCGAGACCCACACCGCGCTATCTCGTGTGCACGCACCTACAGATGACCCGACAAGGAAGACCTCAGCTAATTGAATGAAACGGGTTCTGCTGGTGAAAGTGTCGTGCTCCAATGTAGTCCACAGTGATGACTATGTATGATTTTTGGGGATGCTGCGAAGTGTATAAAGATGGCCTAGATTGACGCTGATGGAATCGATTCGACGAGAGAGGCTTCGTCGAAATCCCCACGATGACGATGCAGCTCGCTTGCGCCAGCGCGGCGCCAACCGGATAGGCGCTAGCCAGCGCGACGTAACGTTAGAAAAAAGTGCCCCTCCTTCTGTCAGATCATCTCAACTCTAGCACTGTCGCACACTGGGATTTTTACGTGAAATGGCTAGTCATCGGTAGGATTATGGAATTAGCGCCGCCATTGATCTTCATCAAACTTCTAGACCATTTGGGGATATCTTACCCTGTGCTCCGGTGAAGGGTTCTCGCCCATTGCTAGATAAAGAAAAGTTCTCAAGTTCTACAGCACTTAACCCGGTTAGCAATCTTAGTAGGGATAAAAAGCAGTGAGATAGATCTAATAAACTGTTCGTTTTCATTGATAGTGGACGTAGTTCACCTCTTTCTTCTTTTTTCTTTCCTTCCTTCGTTCGTTCGTTCGTTTCGTTCGTTCGTCCGTTCGTTCGTTC